TGAGAGCTGAATTGTTATAGCTTTATAAAGTTAGAGAGCATTTTGGTGTCTCAGTTTTGTCTGCATGGTTTAAAAAATGTTAATCATACGTCTCTTGAAAGACAATTTCTGTGTTTAACAAATTCATCTAGGGCCTCCCCAGACCACAAGGTACATATTGTAATTATTTGCTGCCTTTCTCCTGCCACATTTATCAAACCCATAAAAAAAGGCATATTTGCAGACAGTTAAACATACTAATGGGCTTGGATTTTGCACCTAGCTAAAATAGAGTATTAATCCACTTTTATTTCTGTTCCTGTACCTTCTTAAGGTAGCCAAAGCTCCTAAAGTATCTGCCATCCCTCTCATATTCGCTCACGCTCTGGGTGGGCAGATGAGAACCTGAGCTGGAGAGCAGCCAAGCCGTGGCAGAAACATTAGACAATTGTAAGCACAAAGTAAGGTCATGCTCAAACTTAAGTGGCCAAGGCTGTGAACTTGCGCCCTGCTCACTGGAGAGGTTAATAGGGATTAACAAAGAAGGGCTCTCTTGGGAGACACAGTTGTCTTGCCTGTTTTTAAAGGCGAGCACAGGGCCTATGGACGGTAGGAAAATGTAGTTCAGGAGTCTTAATTGGTACACGTTTCTTCTTCTTATCTTCTTGATAAGTAGAGACATAAAAGTGTGTCTCTTTTCTTATAATTGCATGTGTAAATGTTATAACACACGGTGTTAAGATCTGTGACCATCAGTCTTGGCACGAGAGTATAGAGATAAAACTTTTGGTTAGTGTGGCATGGAGTATACTGGCAGTTTGGGCTGGGTCAGCAATCCCCCAAAAGGCTTAGGTAATGGACAGATATATCTTGTATCCCTGCTATTAAAGCAGTACTACTGCTACAATGCATGATCATCATTAACCATTTCTAAGAGCTGAGTCGCCTTGGTACTGAAAATACAGTCACTTTATAATATACAATAAAGTGTTCATGTTAAAAAAAATATGGCATTATTTTCTTACTAGTCTTGTAGAGAAATAAGAGCATGTTAATGATTAGGTTAAAAAAAGGTAATCCAACAAATATAATACAAAACGTAGGATGTCCTTAGAATCTGCCATATTTTAGTGTACCTTTACATTTTTTCGGAGATAAAACATTTTACAATAATAATACCTTTTTCAACCTTAATAATTTAGTCAAACTTGATATTACTTATCTATTGAAAGTACCGGGTCAAATGTATTTCCTTTTTGGCAAGTAAAATGAGGGCATAACGGCACCTCTCATTAATACTCAATGGCGCACAACGTAAATTAAGCAAAAATAGACTGGGAAATGTGAGCACATCAGTCAGCAGCATGTACAGTATATCAGATGGTTGGATCAAGTTCGCCGTTTTGGTGCAATGCTTTTGCACATAGTGAAAGATAAATGAACGTTTTCATTCTGCTTCAGTGAGGGATCAGCTAAAGCATTTAAGTCATAACTCAACCAAATAAGGATTATGTCAACACACTGTATTACATACATATACAACTTGATAAAGACATTGAAAAATGTCATTAAAATATTTGTATTTTAAAAAGTATTTATTTTAAGCCAGAAACAATATGCCAATAATGCTTGAAAACCTTCACGTTTCACTCCCTTACTTTGCTCCCGTCCATTTGCTCTTTTGTTACAGCCTTAATGTTTTTCTGTTTTGTTTTTTCTTCTCTTTTCATTTCACTGTGTCATCATTATTTCTGTCACCAACTATCTTTGCTCTTTTTTCTGCTCACACTCAGCATATCCAATCCTTTTCTTCACTTGTACCTCTCCCATTCTCTCGACTCAACCCTTCCATCATTTACGTTTCTCCTACCTCTCACCAATCAAACTCCCTCCCCCCTCTTTACTTCACCACTCCATCTTTCTATTGGTGCTGCTGCAGAAATGAGACTCGGCTGTGACTAATCTGCTGGCAAAGCCTCCGAGGGCCCCTTGTGGTGGTGCCTCTTCACAGAGGACACATGTGATTGATTGAACCTAGGGAAAACTTTGTCAGTCTGGCCATCATGACTGGATCTCTTGCCTGATAATAAATTCCCTCCTCCCTCAAGTAGTACGGGGAGACACAAGTGTCATTAGGCACATTTCTATGACACATGGTGCCCTGGACTGTTAGAGTTGATCCACATTGCCACGTTCTACTTTCTCTTATACTAACAGTAGCACCCACTTTCTACTCCCAACATGTTCCTGACCCTAACCCTGGCCGACATTTTTTGGTGCAGTATGTGTTTGAAACGGAAAAGCATCTGCAGGAACAATTGGGGAGTGTATGTTTGAGTAAACTACTGTAGGAGAGAGTGGGGTAAATTGAGCCATTTTTTTGTTATGCTGTCCTCTAAGCAAGGAGAAATGACACATAGTAAAAATGAAAACACACACCTATAATTCAGGATGTCTCCTATCAATGGCAATGATAATAATTAATATTTGATCAAGGGCAGTGAAAATATTACTTGCCCCAGTGTAGGGGTAAGTTGATCCAGGTCAGGGGGTAAATTGAACCACTGTTCAAACCTGGGTATACCTGTTCAAACCTGGGCATGCCTACAACAAATCTGAAAGGTAACTATAAACAATAAATAACAAACCAAATACAAGCTTAGTTTTTCAAATATCTTTAATATAAATTTGGATTGAATAGATTGATTTTTTTTTAACATGTTAAAAGGAAAAGTAATTATACAAATGGTGATAAAATGTCATACATCTTACCAATCAAACACAGGGTAAATTCATCTTTAAATGTAGCCTACAATGAGCTCTTAGTATCAACTTGGCCTACTTTCATTCATTTCTCCATTGAAAAACTGGCTCAACTTACCCCAAGGCCCATGGTTCACTTTACCCCATAGCCACCATTTTAGAAAAAATAGCCTAGCATTACAATTCAGAGTCATCTTTAGCTTAATGATTCACATGGTTTAATACGCTGCCAACACATCAACATATAAAAATATATGTGTTTAAACCTGGATACTTTTTTTTTACATGACAGCCGATATAGCTGACATCTAGAAAATGTACTTTGACAAGCAAAAAACCTTTTTTGTAAAAATGTTTACTTACCAGACCACAATGAGTATCTCTCTTTCACAGGCAATGAGAAATGGGTGCAGCTTGCATCATTTCTGGTCACTTGATTACAATTTAGACCCTCCAGAAAAACGCGGGCAAAAATCCTTGATTATGCGGGCTAAATTCCTTGATTATGCAATTAAACATGCGGGTTTTTTATGTGATTTTATGCGGTGAAATTGCGGGAAGTTGCGAAATATGCGAAAAGTTGCGAAATATGCTAAATATGCGGGGGAAAAGAATAACAATTTTTTTAAATATTGGGCTGTCTTATTTATTCTCTCTCACACACAACCTGCCACTAACGTTAAACCCCTTTACTATTCAACTAAACATATTCAATGTTTATTTATTGTAAAAGCAATTGGGCTATTTTAATCTCACACACACACACACACCACACCCACACACACACACACCTTCTCCGCCTCATTCTGTTTTCATTTACTCGTTCGTTATCTGATAACGAACGAGTAAATGAAAACAGAATGAGGCGGAGAAGGTGTGTGTGTGTGTGGGTGTGGTGTGTGTGTGTGTGTGAGATTAAAATAGCCCAATTGNAGAGATAGAGAGAGAGAGAGAGAGAGAGAGAGAGAGAGAGAGAGAGAGTGAAGTCTCCCCTCTCGCTCTCACCCTGGCAGACTGACAGAGAGACACACCCTCCACCATAACAGAGAGCCATTGAAGATGTCATGTGATCAGAGTAAACAGTGAGAGCTGATACGGAGCAGGTGAGCAGAATCTCATCGATCTAATCTCATTATTCATTAAAACCGACCTGACCACGGATAAGCGGGAGAAGATGGATGGATGGACCGACACTCCCAGAATGCATCGGGGCAGATGAACCTGCATTCACAGAGGAACTGTACCATGATGCACTCTGGGTAAAAGTCACTGTTAAAGCTTCACTACGGGTCGAGGTGATCTGCTTTCTCTCACTGTGTCAAACAGAATCAGAGACGTTTCATCAGCTCATCAGAAAACCGAGGTGTAAAGTAACTAAGTACATTTACTCAAGTACTTTACTTAAGTACAATTTTACATCCTGTCGTGTTTTATGTGAGTTTAGTTGAGCAGCATGAACAGATATTGTAATTTCCTGATGGACAGATCTGCGCCAAGTCATCCATAAAAAGTAGTTTTTCTTACATGAAAATTAAGACATAACATTTATTAAAACATTTTCAGATTTGTTTTACATTGGCACTTTTTTCTAAACGTTGTTTTCAAAAAGGTTATTTCCTTTAATTTATTCCAGCAACTTTAATTTGAGTCAAAATAAAATAAAAAATCCCAGCAAGGATGTGCCCCCTCATTTTCATGCACAACACCTTCCTGTACATATATCTATTGTTTTTAGTTTTATTTTTCTATGTATTTATTTGACGCACTTTATGAACATAGGGTTACTGTGGCTGTGAGGGAGTGTGGTTGTCTTTCAACCAGAAGGTTGTGGGTTCGATCCCAGCCCATGCAGTCAACATGTCGGTGTATCCTTGGGCAAGATACTTAACCCTGAGTTGCTCCCGATGGCCAACGGTGTGTGAATGTGTGTGAATGTTAGGTCCTAGAGTAAGGCACACTGCTCTGTATGAATGGGTGTGAATGGGTGAATGACATGTAGTATGTAAAGCGCTTTGAGGGGTCTTAAAGACTGGATAAAGCGCTATATAAGTACAGTCCATTTACCATTTACATAAATGAATACAGTTGAGTTGAATGGTGGCCTGTTATTTAAATCTCCTTAAAGGGTTACTTTCTTGTCTTTACTGTTATTTATTTCCTAGTTTTTATGTATTTATGTAAAGCACTTTGGTTGCATGTTTGTAAAAAATATTACTTAAGTAAATAAAGTTGTCATAAGTGACACGGAGAGTCTTTACTCACTCGTTCTCCAGCAGCGTCATGCAGACCACCTCTTTGACCCCCGGGTTGTTGGCCTTATCGCAGCAGCAGCTCTGCAGGCTCCAGGTTCCGATCCGGACCACCGGCTTACCGTCCCGCAGCCCGGAAAGAGGCTCCAAGTCCGGCCTCGATGAGAGCATGTGAGCCGGTCCTCCTGGATCCATCTCCTCGCTGCTGAAGGAGGTGGGGCTCGGGTGAGACCTGGAGGTAGACGGAGCTCTGGACCTCTCCACAAACACCTGGAAGCGGATCCGGTCTAACAGAGAACTGTTGATGTTTTTCACCCGAACCAAGTCCTCGATGCTCCGGAAGGGACCGTGTTCCCCCCGGTAGGCCGCGATGTTCCCCGCGATCCTCTCCGTGATTCCCCGGAGGCTCTGCAGCTGCGCCGGGGTCGCGGTGTTGATGTTGATCCCGGATCCAGGCGTGTGTTCCGCGTCTTTACGCACGGAGGACGGGGAGTGTTGCGAGGAACCAGTCCGACTAGAAACACAGATCTCCAGCTTTATAATCTCGAGTTTGGTGGCTCCGATCCCGCTCACTAAAGCCAGATCCTCCACCTTTCTAAACCCCCCGATGCAGTCCCGGTACTCCGTGATGTTCTGCGCCACGGCCCGGTTCACCCCCGGCAGAGTCATCAGCTCCTCCTCGGTCGCAGTGTTGATGTTCAGCCGCTCCTGGTTCACCAGAACCGGCCCGAAGTTACAGGCGGCGCTGAATTTACGTTTCCCGCAGCTGAAGTCCGTGGGGTCCCGGGGGATGGACCGGTGGCAGCCAAGGCTACCCCCCATAGTCCCGGATTAGAGAGAGAGAGAGAGACACCCCGGGAGAAGAGGTCTGTATCAGAGAGAGGGAGACACCGGGCTGGAACAGAGGAGAGGAGACAGTCAGAGTTATAGACACACACATATCTATAACCTGGGAATACCCAAGTACAAGTATCTTATTGTGCTTAAGTACTTGAGTACATCCAAGATAAGATAAGATAACATGGACCTTTATTAATCCCCATGGGGAAATGCTGTAGTTTAACAGTAACACAGGGTAAGAATGACAAACAGGACAGCACAGATTCACACGGATTAGAGATTAATACAATAAAAGATACAAATACAAATTATATACAGTTAAGCAACTTTAAAATAAGAAATGAATTAAAATGAACGTATACATATGTGGGTCATACATATAGATATATTTACATGTATGTGTGAAAACCGTGTGTATTTGTGTCCAGTACTTGTGTCTCACATACATATCTATAACATGATAATGGTGGTAGAAACACACATAATCAAAATACGCACCTATCAGATCTGACCTGATCAGAGAGGGAGACACCGGGCTGGAGCAGAGAGGAGACAGTCAGAGGTAGAAACACACACATATATACAACATGATAATGATGGTAGAAACACACATATATTCAATTCAAGATTCAAGGCTTTATTTTCATGTGTACTGTACATAGCGACAGTAGATATGTCAATTCAAATCTTTCATGGCTCCTCCAACAGTGCAACACAATAACACAGATCAAATAGTGCAAGTAAATAAAAATAAAATAGATATCTATAACACTATAGTGGTGGTAGAAACACACATATATATACCATGATAATGACTTTAGAAACGCATATATATCATAATAAAGATACGCACCTCTCAGCGGTCCTCAGGCCGGGTTTACATGCTGCATGAGTCCGGCTGTCGGTGTGTGTTTTGCGGCAGAATCGCGCTGGTTTTACCGGGAGCAGATCTGTAAACTTTGCCCTCCAACAGCAGCGGAGTGACTGTTCACAGGTCGGCCTCCACACACACACTGACACACACACACACACACACACACACACACACACACACACACACACTTTCTGTCCTCAGGTCGGCCTCCACACGCACACACACTGACACACACACTTTCTGTCCTCAGGTCAGCTTCCACAAACACACACACACTTCTGACAGCGCTCATATCAATACTAACCTCCAGCGTGCGTGAGGAGCACAGCTTCACCGGAACACATAGAGTTGACCTTCAAAATAAAAGAAGCCTCAGGGATTAGGTGCATCAGAATCAGGTTTATGGTGAACTTCAACAAACACAATTAACGACCATGATCTCTTGATAAAATAAATAAAGACATTTAATTTCATTGTGTGGAGTTGTCTGGTTCCCATAGCCAGGGTCGATTAAATCCAGCTTTTATTTTGAAATCTGTGGTTTAATACTTCCTGGAGTAGCAGCAGGAGGGGGCGTGGCTTCAGACATGACAACCAAATGTTTTGTGTTGCAGTGGAAGATACGTTTATTACTTGCTTGTAAATTATTATAGAGGGTTTATCCAAATGTAAATTAGTTTTTTTATCAAAGTTCATAATTAATATTGTTTCTGATGTAGTAACAAAAAGCTATCTTCAGTAAACTAGGATTCAAACTAAATTTAAAAGGTTATTTTTAGGCAATAACATAGGTCTCAGATAGGGGAGAAGGGGGTAAGTCGAGCCAGTGGGTAAATTGAACCACCCCCTTTAATCAGGCAACGCCTTATAGTTGTAATCAAGTGACCAGAAATTATGCAAGCTCCACCCATTTCTCATTGCCTGTGAAAGAGATACTCATTGTGGTCTGG